AACAAAATTCGTAGCTGTTAAGGTTCGAAATAGTAGCTGTTTTGGTGCTAGCTTGGTGGGTTTTTGAGTTTTTTGGCATTCTTTCGGAGTTCGGGAACTGTTCGACAGATTACTGCAATGAACCGACGGCTGCTTGACACGGAAATGAGCGGGACTCCGGTACCCGGGATCAGGTCACATGATTCTTACATTAGCGAGGCAAACTTCGACACCAACATGGTGATTATATTGGCGGCGCTGTTGTGCGCTCTGATTTGTGCGCTAGGATTGAACTCGATAGTGCGCTGCGCCCTTCGCTGCACCCAGAGGCTTGGATCTGAGACAGAGGAACAAGCTGCGGCGCGTTTGGCGACGACGGGTCTGAAGAAGCGCGACTTGCGTCAGATTCCAGTGGCGGTTTATGGCGCGGGCGTGGATATTCCTGCAACCGAGTGTCCAATTTGTCTGGGGGAGTTCGTGGATGGAGAGAAAGTTCGGGTGCTGCCAAAATGCAACCACGGGTTTCATGTGAGATGCATCGACACATGGTTGGTGTCACACTCATCTTGCCCGAATTGTCGCCATTCGTTACTTGAACCCGCTACAGCTTTGGGCACATCAACGGAAGTTACTGCAGCCCAGCCCCCGGAAACCGGTAGACAAGGCAGCGTTGTTGTGGTAGTGGAAGAGGCAAGTCAATGATGATATTTATACCATTTCTATGCTAGTAATTTAGGGGGTTTTTCTTCCAGTTAGAGTTACAGATGGATGAAGATTTTCGGGAATCGAATTGCAAAAGCAATATTTGGTAATCTTAATAGTTGTGTGTTAAAATTTTGGTTGAAGTTTTCATCATTTATAGAAAAATGAATGTAATCACTCTATTCTCATCCCTTTTTGATCGACATGGAACAATACCTTGAACAAATTCATGTGCAGTAAGATACCATCTCCTGAAATTGACCATGAATGGCAGTGGATTCGCCAGATTTTTTCCAGTAGCATCAGTGGACGGTGGCTAATGTTTAATAACATTAGCATGTTTATTGTTTAGTCCTCTAACCTACTAGTCTTAGTCAACTTGGTCAACCAAGTCATCTCCTTATTTTTTCTTTTTTTGGTCTTTAGACCGTTAGGGTGTTCTCCTAGACTCTCTCCAAGCAATCTTAATGGTGATCCCACATGAACGTGGTGCAATTTAATGAAATTAATGTTCTTGAAGGTTGGTTGTAAGTAAGACTTGAATGGCAACATTTCATGATGCAGTGGAGATTTTTTGATGGTTTATCCAAAATCTCAAGTGGAAAGCTGGCATGGCCAAACACTGGCAAGGGCTTTCGGGGTTTGGCCATTTCCGGCCACTTTCCCGGATTATCTTAACCTGACTGATCAAACAACCCCTTAATATCTTGAGCTTGAGTAGCTGAGACCGGCCCTAATTGTGACAAAAATAACTTGCATTATTGACCCTTTTTCTTCTACCAATCTCCATTCACTTCCAATTTAGAGCATTTTTTCTGCTTGGAAAAGGGAGCGAAATTATTAGCTTCTGTTTTCTGCTAGTGCATGGACCAAATTTTATGGGCTATGAAATGGTGGGATAAGCATGAATAATCATGCAACGGCCCCATCTCCTCCTCTACATCATTGATTGATTGATTCCAAACACAAAACGGATTACAAATTTTAACAAGCCACGGAGCATGCTGAAGTTCACTTGTTGGGGACTTATTGGGGCCGTGAAGCATCGCTTTCGTCGATCCTTCGAGAATTTTTGCCATTAGTGGAGAGAGATTTTGGATTGATCACCGACACTCCTTTGTATAACACCTTTGTATAACACCTTTGTATAACACCTTTGTATAACACTAAGTCGTACAATGTGTTAGCTTCAATGCATGATGGATATCCCAATCACAATTCCGTGATTTGGGCCATTAGCTATTACAAAACCTTAGAGGTGTTTAAATTAACAATTTGAGTGTACTTGAGAATTGTTGTTATTATAATTTCAAAGTATCTATTTTTTTTTATTTGGCCAACTAATTTAATTTGTTTAATTAGAGAAAATAACTTATAATTGCTTCTAAAGAAAAATGATTCAAAGATAATATTTTTATATTATATTTTAATGCAATTTTATATATTATTTAAATTATTTTATTTATTTATTTAAAATTTATAATATTAAATACATTCACTCATTTAATTAGAGAAAATAACTTATAATTGCTTCTA